CCTGTATATCTCCCGCATAGCTAATTTGTTGCAGCCTCAGTCCCGACTTGGACTCCGACTCCTGCTCGGAGGAATTGTATTTCGATGCGAGTGAGGTTCAATACGAGGTCATGCGCGGAGAGCCCGGGAGGAGGGATGGGGAACAAGATGGCGTTATTAACTGTGGGAAGTGTGACTTAAAATTTGTGACCGATAATGCTTTGCATAGCCATATGCGCGATGGCAATGGCGAGCGTGATGCCAGGAAGCATTATTACTGTGTTAAGTGCAGGGTCGACTTTGACGACGAGGAGGGGCTGAAGGGGCACAAGATGGAGAGTTCCGAGCATGTGGTTTGCGGCGAATGTTCGCAAGAGTTTGATGTCCTTGGGGCGCTTGAGCTTCACCGTACGCAGGTCTGTTTTCAATTCTTCCCTTCTACACTCCAAGGACGTTTGGCAAACTAATACTACTATTAGGTACACGAACACAACCCAAAGGATGTTTACATGTGTCCCGGCTGCGGGGACCCCTTCAGCGCTATCTTTGCCATCGTGCAGCACATAGAGACCGATCGCTGTAAGGGCGGGCTCTCAGCTGCCGGCTTGCAGATGCACATAAACAAGGAAAACACTCCTCTGGCAAAGAAAAACCTCCCCACCCGCATCCTCGCCGGTACCACCACGACCCATACTTGGAATCCCGATATTATGCCTCAACGAGTTGAATCTGCCCTGCGTAAGACTCCCGACGGCTCCAAGACTGCGGGTCCTGTCCCGAAGGACTTTTTGACTGTCCTTGACTACACTATTCCCGACTTACCGAACAATCCTCCAGCCGGGGGCCTCGAGGGTTGCTGGGACGAGTCAGTTGGATGCTATTTTTGTCCCTGCCTCAGGTGCGGGAAGAAATTCAACAGTGTTTCCCAGCTTGAAAAGCATCTCGTGAGTCCCGTTCATTTGAAGAAAGCCTTTCGGTAACACTCTCCCTATTTTGTCCAAAAGGTCCACCTAAGTGCTAACGGGTGGATAGCTGTCCTCGATGCTTTGCACGCTTTCGCTCGGCGTTCTCTCTCATCCAGCACGGCGAAACCAACGTCTGTGGGATTAAAAGTTCCCGTATTTATGACAGGTTTATCAATGCCGCCACGGGCGGATTGATCACTGGATAGGATAGAAAGGCGGGATTTGACACCGATTGGTGAGGGTCGTGTGTTTGTATCTTTTTTTCTTCGGGGGCTAGCCTCGCTATTTCCAAGGTTTTAAAATAAAACTCATAAAATTCCTACTGCTGTGATCAGTGTTTCGAGTGATCTTTGGTGATTGCGTTTGCTAGTGAAAAAAAGGGGGGTGAAACAACTAGATGTGCTGTTGATCACTAGCCAAAAAGATGGAAGGACTGTGAGGGAGGATGCGGGTAATTTTTAGCACTATGGGTGAGTCGCCTCTTTTTATACTCTGCTCAGAATCTCTCGCGTACGGCACAAGGGTCACAAGCTCACCACAGGGAATCCTCCAGGTAACAAGCAAGCATAGTGCTATCGTGAGAATAGCGAGCCCCATTCCACAGGTATCTAAGCTGGGAAAGTAGCGGGCGGTGCCGCAGCCAGAGGAGCAAGAAGGAAACCCTCAGTAGGAGAAGCCTGGCTTACTCACCCCTCTTAAGCGATATTCGTATCATAGCATTAGTCCAGAAAGAAGGTTCGAATCCCAGGGAAAGTCCCAAACAGGGTTACGACCGTGCCTTGGGGAAACAAGCGGCTCTATAACTCTCTCCGGTACACTTGACCTACCACCGTTCCTCCCGAAAAACCTGTTCGTTGGTTCTTGCTGGCACCTTGGGGGGTAGCTTGTCGAGCCGCTGCGTGGAATTGTTCGCACGTCACTGAATACGCGAGAATCACTTACCGGGAGGCCCAACATTCGCTACAGAATTGTGGGATGTTTAGTCAAGGCAGTTGTGACGCCTGTTGGTCCCGCCCGCGATGATGTGCGGTGCGGTGCTGTCCGGAGGTGCAGTTGGGGGGGTGATACTTTCCGAATGCTATGGACGACGACTACTTGCTGGGTATTATGAGAGAAATTACCGGGCTGATATCCAAAATGTAAGTGGGAATGTCGAGTACACTCCCAATACAAGCCTGGGGGGTTATTCACAAATGCTAGTGTTTGGTTTCCTTCTCGTTTCTATAACTTCTGATGAATTTCTGGGCGAGATTATTCTCTGGTAAAGCGGGGCGCTTGGCGGGGCCACTAAGGAGGAATGTCTGGGCAGCTTATTGCTGAGTAAAGGCATAAAATAGAGCTTGATTAAAACTCTGCGTACAAGTTCTCGTCTAAGTATTGTATCCGGAGCGGCTATGCCACGCCCTGGGTGTCGGGGAAGAATCTGCTGACATGGATATTGGGAATATTCTATTCCAATAATATGATAGAAACGCTACTACCATGCCCTCTAGGGTTGGTCGCGGAGGGGAAGTCCTCGCCTATAGTCCCTTATGTTCGCCACACTTTGCAGGTGCGCCTCTCACATAACCACAACTTGTTTCTTAAGCTTAGCCTGATGGTTGCCGGAGTCTATTTTATCTCCCTCAACTTTCGTCAAATCCTGGGATTCTCACCTATACCCCCTTCGATCCTAGTAACCGTTTCCATTCATTGGGTATGCCTGTTGCTAGATACACATTCTGGGTGAAACCGTGAGGGTTGTGGAGGGGGGCTTGCATTGAAACCACTTGATGGGTGTGGTAAGAGTATAGCTACCGAGGGGCGGTTATCGCTTGAGACGGGGTATTCACCATTGGAATTTTGGTCAGGAAGGGAGGACCTAGAGGGTTTGTGTGCCTTCGTGGTGCCGTATACTTCGGATGCGGGGGTTACAGCTGCTAGGAACGGGATAGGGGGTCGTGTGGATGCTCCTGGACCAGAACGCGGTCAATCCCGAAAGAGCTGATATGTGGAGCCGAATACCGCTCTTGGGAGCTGAGGAGGAATGAGCACTGGGAATTTTCGGGATGCTGCTGGGCCGGGGGATGTCTTTCCAGACATAGCTGATGGCTAATATGACTGAGAAAAGAGGTCTCATGGGTTGTTAGGGATGGGCGTGGGGACATGGTGAGTGTGAACTTGGTGAACCAAATAAAGAGAATTGATTTAATTCTAGCTAACGTCATCTCTGAGTATAGGCCTCGTAAATCTTTTTGTAAAAAGCAGTATCAGTGGTGGAGGACACCAGAGCGGGGAAGTAAGACCACCTATCCGTCCCGAAGACGTACCCCCTCAAAAAAAAAACCTATCCTATTACTAATGACACCAATGTACTCGAGTAACTACTCGTAGCGACGGATTCCTGTCAAGACCATCTCAAATTCGTACCGTACCTCTCCTCATCTTAGTAGGTTGCCTTCCCATGAACCGCATTGTCACCCTTGGGCTCCGGAACCTTGTCGGGCTTGTCTTGGTTTGCTCAAGCGGCCGGATTGAAGTCAGAAGGCGCTACCGTATTTACCATTCGCTTAGCCACCTTCCGATTTCAATTCGGCCGATTGAGTATGTGAACCATCGGGAGTTCAAATAGTCGGGGTTATCAGTAGGCGCCTGATATATACCATAACTCTTCCTTCAAAGTATAGATACGGAGCGGCGCAGGGATCCATCTGTTCGGGTGTTCTTTTTAAACAGTAGGCCAGTTTTCCAAGTGAGTATTTATCGCCATGACAGATATCCTTAGCCCTCCAAAACCCCTACTCCAACGTCTGCCCTCGGTGTTTCGATATCCATCTTTATCCTGTGACGTGCTGGTAACCTGTTCGCTGCGGGTACGGGTCAGACAATGGCTATTTATGATATCCTGTCGACTGAAACCTGAGAAATGTTTGCTGCCAGCATAAGGTCCAGTTGGATGGACAATGTGGGCCCCGTGCGGAGGCTATTGAGAAGATTGGGCCGGATGGGGCAACGATTAACAGTTGGGCTATGATAGTCCTATGATACTATACCCCTCGGAGGAAGGTCGGTCTTGGCTGTATACAAGTGCCTTATTGTCACCACGACAGT